AGGGGTCAAATAAATAATAAATTCACCACCAAAACAGCGTTTATTGTACGTCAAACAGTCTATGTTAGTCACTAAACCTTTGTATTCGTAGGTTATACACTGAGTCACATGATTTTAATTGAAATATTCAAATAAATTGATAAAATTGCAGCGTACATGAAAAATCACAGTGCAAAATATATTCCATTTAGCCCACATACAAACAACTGACAGTTATACAGTGTTGCCAATTATATGGAAGAGAAAAACTACGGTCAAGGTCAAGTGACGTCATCCTTTGATACATCACACTTGAACATTACTCATGTCTAAATACAATAGGTTCATGATTTTATTTATGACTCTGCCATTGTCATAGTAATAAGAATTCTTATTGAAAAATTATTCAATAGATAGTGAACGTTTTTTGTGGTAATGTAACTGTATTGTTTTTTGTGGTAATGTAACTGTATTGTTTACAAAAAAATCTCAATACTTTCTTAAGTATTGTGAAAAGAAGAAAAAGACAGCACAATGTGTTAGAATGTCGATTTTTGCTTTATTATTAATTACATTATTATTTTTAAAATTCCATTTATAACAACTACTAACTTTTTGTTTAGTTTATAATTATTTACCTAATCAGCAGAAAGTTATTAATATGGCAATGTTTTTTTAATCCATTTTACGCATCTGCAAATTGAGAGAAATATATGTTAAATTTGATGAAAAAAAATAAAAGCAAAATGTAAAAATGTTTAACCGTCTATAAGTTTATGTTTGAGTTTATTTATATTATATAATTGTTGAGAGTTCATTTTAAACAAACTGGCAATGTTTAATCCTGAATCTTGACACTTGAACTTGTAATAAAAAATTTGCTAAAAATAATTGTCCACTTCGCAGCGTGTAGCAAGATGAACATCTTTAAAAGTTTAAAGTAAAATATGTGCTAAAAACCAAAAGGTGTAGGTTTCACCTCGAACAGAGTTCACTCGCAGTATTGCCAGGTGAAATTTGAAAAAGTCTGAAGTTATTGCACACAAAGAAACGGTAGAACGAGGAAAAAACAGTAGATCCTGAACTTACTTTCAAACAATCGACTTTCTCCAAACATTGATCGATCATTTTCATTTTTACATTATTAGCCAAAGATGTTGTCGCGAAACCTTCTTGGTTTAACATTTTATTTTCCTCATTAATGTATGTCACCTTTGTCCGTATCACAATTGTTTTAGTTTTTTTCATCAGAAGAAATATCCTAATTTTAAATACCTTAATAATATACGGAAATTATCTCCCTATTCAGTAAGTGTTTTAATAAGGGAGCAAAGGCTGCGGCCCGCCGTATTGTCTATCCATATCAGGAGCCTGAGATTATCCCGAACACATGTAATGTTTTTGATGTTATCTTACAGTCTTGATAATTAAAAATAAAGTAATCTAAAATGCTCCTAGCGGAAATGTCAATGTTGCGTTTGACAGCTGAAATTCTAAATTCCAATAGGTATAGGAAATGAGACTATTTTTCCGGATTTAAATCGCGTATATTTGTTTTTTCAAACAAACCTCAACAAAAAAAAAGTCAACCGTGACCACAGGACCTGTAACGGGCCCGAAACGTCGGTTTGTTTGAAAAACCAAATATACGCGATTTAAATCCGGAAAAATAGTTTCATTTCCTATGTGTAACAATCGCGAAAACCTAAGAATCCAATAGGTATGTTGATAGAATTTTGAGTTAGGGAATCTATAGCGGTTGTATTAACACGTTCCCTGTGCAGCTCGAAATCAGAAATAAACCCCTCACGTGCAATTTTTTTTTGTAAATTTGTTGGAATTGTTATTAGAAAAATCATTTTCGGAAACCCCCATCCCATTTTCAGGTTTTTCCTAAGTGCTACCATGTGATCATAGATTTAGTATATAGGTACCAAATCTATGTACGGGATGCACGCACGTATGAGTTCTTTGAGGGAGTGGTAGCTCCTTAATTTTATTCGGTTTATTATTTTAGTTCTATAATTTGTATTTTCTATAATTAATGTTTTTATAATAAAAATAAAATTTATTAGTTTTATTCTTTATTAAAAAATATTTTACTGTATCCAATATATAATTCATGCGACACAGCGATCACAGCGATCACAGCGACTGAACATCAAAACTGACCATGGTGTCATCATCAGTTAACCGTAGATCTTTGATTCCACTAATGAAATGGTGAAGGATTCATACCATTTACCAACCTACCAGTAAAAGACTGCATTTAAATTGTACGTAGAAAGCTATGGGAACATAATTAGTCCATTGAATATGCAGAATTATTAGAACACTGCCTAACATCAGGCTATCTATTGTGGAATAATGAATTCTACCTACAAATTGACGGTATAGCAATGGGCTCCGCGGTATCTCCCGTTATTGCCGATATTTTCATGGAAGACTTCGAGGAGCGAGTTTTACCCATGGTCCCAGCTAGGCCGAAGATTTTCAAACGGTACGTTGATGATACTTTCACAATATTACCTAAAGATAGCATACCTTCTTTCTTGGACCATCTTAATTCTTTCAGCTAGCTTAGCTTTAGCTTTTTATATAGGAAGTCCTACAAGCGAATAAGTTGAAGACTCCACGCCAATGCCGCAGGCCCCGTGTGAAACCACCAACAGTCGAGCGAAGACCTGCCATCTTACCTTACGTGAGAGGTGTTACAGACAAGATCGGGAGAGTCCTCAGGTGTGCATCTATCAAGACCTATTTCAAGCCCCCGAGGAAGATTTCTCAGTTCCTGAGACCCGTGAAATGTAATATCCCCATACAGGATGAAAGAGTTTACAAGCTTAACTGTGAATGCGGTCTCTTATATTGGACAAACAAAGCGAAGTATTTGTACCCGCGTCAAAGAACATATAGCTGATGTCAAACACCGTCGCGTAAACAAGTTTGCAGTCTGCGAGCATGTCATGGATAAACTTACACATTCAATGAAGTTTGACAAACCCCAGGTCCTTGCAAAAGAAGTCCGTTATCTACCCAGGATGCTGCGAGAGGCCATTGAAATTAAAAAACATCGTAATTTCAACAGGGAAGATGGTTTCTCCGTACCACCAGTTTGGGATCCAGTATTTCCTCTAATGAAAAATCCCAAACAGACATAAGACTGCAGTACTAATTAATATGTTTTAAATTATTCTAATTTCTATTATTATATCGAGTTCTTAGGTTTTCGCGATTGTTACACATAGGAAATGAAATTTTTCCGGATTTAAATCGCGTATATTTGTTTTTTCAAACAAACCGACGTTTCGGGCCCTTTACAGGTCCCATGGTCACGGTTGACCATGTTTCATTTAGATAATTTCATTTTCTATTATTATATAATAATATATTAAACTTAATAAAAATTCATTCAATAAAATAATTTGTAAAACTTAATGTTGCGTAAATTGGAATGTTTTCTTTGTAAAATTAAATAAGGTATTTAATTAATAACTATTGTAACTATAGTGAAAAAGTGTGGTTTGCATTAATATTAGACATAACTGTTTGAAGACTCTACCACCTCAGTCAACCGTGACCATGGGACCTGTAAAGGGCCCGAAACGTCGGTTTGTTTGAAAAAACAAATATACGCGATTTAAATCCGGAAAAATAGTTTCATTTCCTATATATACGATTTGTAACGCCCATCCGTACCATATCTATGCATCTCTAGTTTGTGCTTCAAACCTTAGATTTTTTTTTTTGAGATTCGCTCTGGGCCTTTTGGAGGGAAAAGTGTCGTTTTTATTTTGACTTTAAATTATTTTGTGAAACCTAGTTTAAAGTGGAATAGGATAGTGCTATTGTGCGTTAGTCGAAGAGTAAAACGCGAAACTATACGAATCTCGAACTAAAATACCCGTATCGGCCCGTTCTAAGGAATCCCGAGTCAATCTGCCTCCTGTTTAACTGCCTCCGTGGCCGATACGGTTACCATGCCGGACTGCCACGCAGAGGTCCCAGGTTCGATTCCCGGGCCGAGAGAAATAGTTGTATGGCCTACAATTATTTCTCTCGTGAGTTTGGGTGTAATTTATGGTTGTCTATGTGTGTGTCCATGGCACCCGCGACACAGGGTTTCCCTAGTGCGGGGCTATGTTGAGTGTGTGCGTTATTTATTTATAAAAAAAATTATAATCCAAGAACGCCGCCTTAAATTGCCTATCCTCTTTGCGGCGGCCATATTTACAGAAACATAATTAAACGAAGACATAGCTCAAAAGACTAGTATCCAAGCCAAAATTATTAATAAAAAAAATTAAGTTTGTTTTTTTACACGAATTAATTTTGTCAGTTTATGTATGTATATTAGGTTGTGTTGTGCGTTTCTTGATTATTTGTTACCATAGTTTGTTACCATTAAGGTGATAGCTCTGAAGCCAATGCTTTACAAATAACTAAATCAATCCTTTATTTTTTTCCATTCTCCAAGTTCCAAGCACAATATTAACTGATAATGTCGTACACACGGTACACATGCTTAGACGATAATGTGACGATTAAGGAGGAGGCAAATGGTTCAGAAAACAGCTTCATGGGCTTACATGGAAATGTCCACATTAAACAAGAGCCAGTTGCTATAGCGGGAGCACACATTAAGGAAGAACTGGATCTGTATGCAGACCATGAAATCAAGGAAGAATTGGTCGTAGGCCCTGTAGTGTTGCAGCATGTAGATATAGCTCAAGCAAGATTTGTGCAGAACACATCTGATAGAGTGAATGTTGATACTCGACCATACAAATGTGATATTTGCACTAAATGTTATACAACGAAACAACGCCTTAAACATCATAGAATAACTCATACTGAAGAAAATTCTAATATACATTTAAATACTCATGTAGAAAAGAAACAGGACAAGTGTAATATTTGCAATAAATATCTTGCAAATAAATATGTACTTCAAACTCACATAAAGACTCATATTGGAGAGAAACCATTCATGTGTGATATTTGCAATAAATGTTTTGCAACAAAAGCTCATGTTAAGCATCATATAAGGACCCATACTGGAGACAAACCATACAAATGTGATAGTTGCAATAAGTACTTTGCAAATAAATATGTACTTCAAACTCACATAAAGACTCATATTGGAGAGAAACCATTCATATGTGATATTTGCAATAAAAGTTTTGCAACAAAATCTCATGTTAAGCATCATATAATGACCCATACTGGAGATAAACCATACAAATGTGATATTTGCAATAAACATTTTATAACAAAATCTCATGTTAAGCATCATACAATGACCCATACCGGAGAGAAACCATACAAATGTGACCACTGTAACAAGTCTTTTGTCCATAAAGGAGTTTGTAATAGACATCTACAGACTCATTTGGGAGAGAAACTATATAAGTGCGATATTTGCAATAAATGTTTTATGAGAAAACATGTACTTCAAATTCATATAACTACTCATATTGGAGAGAAACCATACAAATGTGATATTTGCAATAAAACTTTTTCAACCAATTATGAACTTAAGCGTCATATAATGGCCCATAGTGGAGAGAAACCATACAAATGTGATATTTGCAATAAATGTTTTGCAAGGAAATCTCATGTTGAGCGTCATTTAATGGTCCATACTGGAGAGAAACCATACAAATGCGATATTTGCAATAAAAGTTTCACAACAAAATCTCATGCTAAGCGTCATATATAAGGGACTATACTGGAGAGAAACCGTAGTACAAATGTAATCACCGTAATAAAACTTATCCAGAAAGCCAATTGTGAAACACATAAAAAGATCCATACTGAAAGACATAAATGCAATATTTTCAATAAATGTTTTATAAAAAAAAAATGGCATACTGGAAACACTCATACTGGAGAGAAACCATATGCAATATTTGCAATAAACATTTTACAACAAAATCTCATGTTAAGCTTCATATAATGGTCCATTTTGGAGAGAATCCACATAAATGTCATCACTGTAATAAATCTTTTTTTTATAGAGCAAATTGAGAAACACATTTAAAGATTTCATACTGGAGGGAAACAATATAAGTGTATTATTTTCGTAATAAATGTTTTACAAGTACACAGTACCTTAAATCTCATACAATGGGCCATACTGGAGAGAAACCATACAAATGCAATCACTGTAGCAAAACTTTTGTTTGTCAACCACTTCAAGAAGATTCATACTGGAGAGAAACCATACATTGTGTGATATCTGCATTAAATGTTTCTTTTTTTTCTTAATTAATGGTTTGTGACACTAATTTATTATTTCAATACTGCCAGTGTCCGTTACATGTTAGTTTCATAAACATCATAGGGGGAGTGTAGAAGTTTACGAATTTTTTTCAGTTACTCCGAGGGAGTATTGAAGAAATATATATTTTATAAGAAAGTTGGACCTCAAGTGTCATAGCGACCCATACTGGTAAGAAACCATATGAGTGTGAAACCTGCAATTTGTAAGACTAACAACTTCAATTCAAGAGTCAATTAAAGGGGAAATATTGGAAAAATATTTATATTTCTGGAAAATATGATTTTTTCAAAATGGACCCATGACCCAACACTAATTAAAAATGAATATGAATAATGTTTTCTTTCACAGTACAGTCAATTCGGGTAACTTTGAACATTTTTTGCGTTTTTCTAATAATTTCAAACTTAATTGTTTCTGAACAATTTATTAACTGAATAGTGTTCTTTTAAGCCCTTTTTTTGTTCTTATAGAAGGAATTTAGTAATTATTCAACAAAACTGTTCTAGATTTGCTCCAAAAGTCACATTCAAAGTTGCCTTGAATTTTGGGTAACTTTGAATAAGATTAGCCTTCGATATGGAAACTGTATATTTTCTAGATATTTTACAGTTTGTGTAAGATTATACGACATATTCATATTTTTTAGATGTGAATCTGTCCAAATATTCCTGACAGTGCGTTCAAAAACGACATTTGACTTGGTATTGCCATAATAAAACGAGACGAACTAATTTAGTTGAAATGAAAAAACTGTTTTTTTTTAGATTTTTTAATTAATGCGAATAAAAATGAAAATTTTCTGTTTAATAATAAATTCTACGCTTATTTAGCTATCAAACGAGATCAAAATGAATCACCTATAACAATTATTTTAGGCAAAGTAAATGCATAACAAAAATCTATTCACCCCACTCCTTGAATAAAATGTCGTCATCAATATAAATACGGCCGCCTTTTCTAGATAGCTGGTTGCTCTTTTATAATATTCACAATATCGGCTTTATTAACTTGACATGTCTCAACGTTAGAGAGCCAAGACCAACCTCCTAAAAAGCATTTTTGGAGCACTGAGACAGTAATTTCCAAAGGAGTAACTTTTAGAACTCTCCCTGGAAACACATTCAAAGTTACCCAAATATCCCTGTTTGGTAACGTCGTCAAAATCTAATTCGTTTTACGCGTAAATACAAAACCAAATTAAATTATTCTTTAAAAAAGCGATATATAAACCTCTACTTAAGTGTGGAAAACTTACCAGTCAATATTCAGATTTATATATTTAATTCCGATTCTAAAACTGAGCAACAAATCACACCAAACTACTTTCGCCAAGAAAAAACCGCGAAAGTTTAAAAAAATACAATTTAACATTACTTTTTTCTTTCATAACTTTCGTTTAACAATTTTGTTCCGATTTACACAGTTTCAATACTAAAAATAAAAGATTGCCATACATAAAATAAATTTTTAAATCTTTTACGCAACTACGTTCAAAGTTACACCACGATTCAAAGTTACCCGAATTGACTGCAATAAATATGCATAATTGTTATTTTCTATGAAAGAAAAGTCATGAATTCTCATTATCTAAAAAAATAATGAATGAAAGATTGTTATCTCTCACGACTGCGGTGTTGCCATACAACAAAACATATGCATTCTGCATTCATAACACTAGCACGCTTTTATTGAGATTTTTTCCAGATTTCTGTAGCTTAACTAACACAAACGGAAGAGAACTGTAATTAATGAAGAAAAAATAATGAGTTAAAATTTGCTGGTTTTAACATCTCTCAATCACAAAAAAATCTCAAAAATCAAAAAATCTCAATAAAAGCGTGCCAGTGTTATGAATGCAGTGTGCATTATATCGCACTGCTATTACAATAGTGTTGCAACTCAAAATATGTGATATTTAATATTATATCATTACAGAACGTAAAATTTCTTTCTCTACACGTCAAAAAAACCGTCGTTAGAATATTGTAAGAAATGAGACCATTTTGAGTTAAGTGGATATCTTTTGACACTTTATGGGAGCTAGTTTTGGCCAAAATAAACCTTATTCAAAAATATTAAAATATTTTTTCCATTTTATTTTTAAATATATTTGAGAAATTGTTTAAATGTCTATAATAAACTATACATACATAAATTTCAATTAATTTTTGCGGGAAGCGAGTACCTAATTAGTTTTTCATCAATTCTGAGAAAGTCCACTTTTTGAGTTAAAACACTATTGTGTTAACAGTGCGATATGTTTATTTATTTATTTATTTATTTATAATATACAACTTACACTAACAGTAAAAACCAAACATGCAAGCCATAGTCAATATTGGTTGGAGTCAATCACTGCAAAAACGAAGCTGCTGAATATCGATCACAGAGCTTTGGGCGGTGACCGACTCCAAGTAGTAACCAGCCGATGTCAGAAACTTCGTCCTAGTGTTACTAAACACGTCAGTGTCCTCAATTTGATTCAAAGATTCAATAACGGCTAGAGTCTCGTAGAATGGTGTCCGTCTTAGTGTCTCCGTACGGATTAGATGTAGCGCGAACAAGGGATGTCTACGTTGGCGCAGAACATATCGCGGTGTTGGCGGGACAAAGAAATGTATGTTGTGTTTTATGGCAACACCACAGTCGTGACAGGGGGTTTACTAGTATCCATGGAATTAATAAGTACTTCGTACAACTGGAAGGCTTACTGTGTATTGAAGCGTGCGCCGAGCGAGATGTCATAAATCTTGGTCCGTCTCTTTCTGACTAACAAACAGAGATGACGCCATATTATTTTAGTGTTGCCTAATGTAAAACAAATAAAACTTTCCAATAATATTTAAATATCGTGAAATAATATAAAGACTTTGATTTATTTGCGACCTATTGCATTCATAGTTGGTATGGTATTATTTACAAACATCTTATAATATTCATGGACAAAATGACGTATTGTTTTTATGCCAATTTTTTTTTATAGTCAACTACCGTATTGTATCAAATATCTCACATGGCAATTGTGCGAAAGGGACACACCAAGAAAGAAGATGTCTCACTTGAGCTCAGATCTCTAAGGAGATATTGGTTATTTAAAAAGTATTTTATTGCTATTCATTTAACGTTCATTTTGATATGTCAAAATAATTGCAGTGAGCTTTCCAGTTGTACGAAGTACTTATTAATTCCATGCTAGTATCAAATATGAAGCGTCATTCGCATCACGCGTCTTTTCATTTGGTCAAGTATTGTTTATTTGGCAGTAATTGTTTCTGACGGAGGTCGAGAGTAGACCCCCTGATAACAATCATTCGTTCATTATTTTTTTAGATAATGAGAATTCATGACTTTTCTTTCATAGAAAATAATAATTATGCATTTTTATATCTGTGAAAGAAAACATTATTCATATTTATTAAAACTAAATTAAATAATTATAATAATAAGTGAGAGCCAATTAAAGATCCTCAAAAATAAAAACATAGTAAGGAATCTGGTTGCACAATTCACCTAACTTATTATATAAAGCATAAAAAAAAAAGAAAAACCACAGAAGTCTTCACTAAGAGTCAAAGAAGTGTTCACTCATTGCTCTCATTGCCAGAATCATACTCGTATTAAAAAGGTCAATATCAAAAGTATTACATAAAATCATTGACTTGCAATTATATGGACGTCGGGTCCGCGCTACAAAGTGTCCGCGCTTGTAAGGCGCTAAAATCGTATACAGAGCGCCAAACTCCGCTTTAGTCTTCATTTGTTCTACTGACAGCGCGATACTGCGATGACATTACAATTTAAATTTCGAATAGGTTGACTTGGGACATTTTTTTCGTGGTTTTTGTATTAGACCCGTCGTCCATTTATTTGTAAGTCAATGCATAAAATATTCAAATTGTTACTAGCACGCCACATAAACTAATTTTGCCTGTAGTTAGTTCGGGCCAGAGGTAGAACCAAAAGTGAATTGTTTCTAAGATACTTAGAGGGAACTCTCAGTGATATTATTGTGATAGCTATTCCGGACAGTAAATAAGGCCCGATGCTATTTTTAATAAATACTTTAAATCACTAATATTACGACGAATTTCGAGTGGTAGGAGATGATGCTTCCTACAGAGATTTAACTGCCTCCGTACCCGAACGGTTACCATGCCGGGCTGCCACGCAGAGATCCCAGGTTCGATTCCGGAGCTGGGAAAAACATTTGTATGGCGTACATTTATTTCTCTCGTGAGTTTGGGTGTAATTTGTGGTTGTCTATGTGTGTGTCCATGGCACCCGCAACACAGGGTTTCCCTAGTGCGGGGCTATGATGAGTGTGTGCGTTATTATTATTATTATTATAGAGATTATTATTGGCAGAATTATAATAGTCATTAGTTCGATTACACAAAAAACGAATAAACTTTATTGTATATTTTGAAGCCACGAAATGTAAATATGATACCGAGGATTCCAAATATGGCTGGCGTATTCTAAACTGCTACAAACAAATGAGCAATACAGTATTTTTATAGTTTTATCCTGTGCAAAATCTTTTGCACACCGCATAACAAATCCGAGTGACCGAGAGGCCTTAGTCGCTATACTATCAATATGCGATTCAAATAATAACTTAGAGTCGTGTAGGACTCCCAGATCTCGTACAGTAGATTAGCCTTGAAGAACCACACCTTTAAGGGAGTAATTAAATAATACAGATTTGCGTTTACGATTGAAAGTAACAAAACAACACTTTGATGGATTAAGATCCAGGTCGTTAACTTGACAGAACGCTTCAAGCCTATCCAGATCAGATTGCAAGGCCACCGCTTCTTCTCGTGTCTTCACATGGGCAAATATTTTCATGTCATTCGCAAACCAAA